CCCCAAAACCCCAAAACCCCAAAACCCCAAAACCCCACTAGAAATAGCATTTACTGAATTAGATAAGTTATTAATTACAGCTGTAAAGAATCTCTGTTTTTAGTCAGTTTAGTCAATATTTAGAGTTTCAACTAGCTTTCCATTGGTCAAGATATCAAGGCTTTCGCTAAGTTCAACAATAGCATCCTTCATCTCATTGTTTTGTATCTCTAGTTGAACAGTCTTCCTCCTACTCGCTATAATTTCGCTCCTCAAAAGATCATTTTCGGTTGCAGCGTCCTTCAGAGCTTGCTTATAAATGTTTAAATGGTTTTTCTCCTTAGGAGTAAGAGGGTGGCTAGTTTCCTTCCCAAGCTTTTCCTGGGGAGATCTAACTTTTATACTATAATCCTCTGAATCTGAATCATCAGCACCGATCTTAGAATCTTCCTTGATCGGTTCTGAGCTACTAGGCCTCTTAGGAATTTCCTCTATTGCATTCTCCTTCCCTAGAGAAATCATGTGAAGACTCTCTAGATCTTTTGTGTTTAACTTGCTAATTTCAGCTTTAAGAGCACTTATGTGCCCCAAAACTGGATGTTGGCTCTTTTTCTGAGAATTTTTTGAACTAGGAATTTCCTTTGATGTCTAGAAGAGAACTGTTTTTATCCCTAAGGGAGAGAAAAAGGTTTGAATTTAATTAAAGAGAGCCAATGGACCTTGATAATATAAGTCAGGTAGAATGACCAAGTATCCCGTCCTAATTTCTGATAGATGATACCTAACCTTACTTACCTTTCTATATAGCTGAATCAGGTGCATTTCTTGATCAGAGAGTGGCTGCATACCTTTAGGTACTTGGAATTGTACTGGCGCCATCCTCTGGCTTTTCCCAGCTAGCTCTAGCTGAGTTTGGGGCATCTTCCTCGTATTGCTCCTCGGAATGTCTATCAATGCTTTAGAGGGCAGCCAGCAAGCCAGGCCTTGGAGTCTGGCCTGGTGGAAGAATTTAGAGAAGAATTTGCGGAAAATATGAAATTTGAAGAATCAGTGGGTTAAAAATGGTTTTGAGAGAGATAAATATGAGAGAAAGAACTTTTGGATGATTTTTAAAGGGTTTCAAAGAATTTTTAGATGGGATTTTGAAAAAATTGTGTAAATTGAAGAGATCTATTTGGAGTAAGATCTTTGAGATAATGTTAGTTAATGAGATTTAGCTTCCTTGATAGATTCTTAGTTATGCTTTGTTAATTTTATCCCAAATACTTTGATGGTTCTTTCAAAAATTTAATTTAAATTTTTGTGATTTTATCAACTCAAAATTGCAACTATTCAAAATTTTGTGAGACTTCCAAAACACCAAATCTACTCAAACTCAACTCATTCTCAACATTTTCAACCTCTCCAAAAACCCATACCCCTCTCTATCCTCCTAAGAACTCTCACTCACTCTTAAATCATCCAAAAGGTGTCCTTGAACCCGATTTCAACCTTTTTGGATTATTGGCTCTCTTCATTTAGTCAAATTAATTGTTTCAATTATTTATAAAATTCATGGGGTTTTGGGGTTTTGGGGTTTTGGGGTTTTGGGGTTTTGGGGTTTTGGGGTTTTGGGG